TGTGAAAGAAGTTAATGTGCCTTTTAAAAATCTAAACAATTAAGTAATACTAATATAAGAAATTATATACTTGATTTATCCCTTTTAATAGTATAAATGTTGAAATGCAGTTGTATTAGATATTTTGTGTCTGTATACGTCTGCAAGATGTCTGTTAAAGATCTCTTGATCTGGAAAGCACCTGCTGTATACAAACGTCTGGCAGACGTCTGTATGATGTCAGTTTTACACACATTCTGAATCGCAAACATCTTAAAGATGTCTAATAGAAGTGTATTTCACATCTGATAAGAAACGTCTTTCAGATGTCTTGCAGATGTGAATGCAGACGTCAAATAGACATCTCCGAGATGTAAATGTGCTAATCAAAATCGGCCATTAAGAATCAAGATCGGCGCATAACTAAAAAGAAAATGGGTGCTCCTAAATTTTTTGGGATGCTCCTAACTTTTTGAAGTTGGGAGCACCAGTGCTACCAAGTAAAAAAGTTAATTTCGAGCCCTGTAATGTATGTATGCTAATGTTAAATCTTTAGCTTAGTTTGTCAACCAGGCTGCTTGTTGCTGTAAGTAAATTATGGGCCAGGCCAGCTAACGTTTCTGAGGGTACAGTTGTCTCGTGTTCTCCTGTTCAAAAATAAATGTTTTTAAATCAAAACTTACATCAGTTTCATGGATCAAAATGTAAGTACACAAACCCGATGTAGCCTACGGTTTAAAGGTGTGCATGTTTATATTCAAATAATTTTTTAAAAAATGTGTAGGGGGTCCACTGGGTACAGGGCCCAGAATTTGGTGCTACGCCCCTGGATGGGTGAGACCGTGTCCACAGACCCACAGCACACAGTATTTAGCCTTTCATGAAGGGTCGTATGTGTTTGTTTCCATGATCGATGGGGTTTATTGCATGTTTTTCTCTGCAATCCTGTCGGGGCCGATACAGCAAAGCTGTGTGTGCAGGAAGCATTTTTGTCGGGAGAGCAGTACTAGAATTGGAAAATGGTGGACGTTGTCTTTTATCAGCAGTTTGTTCACATTTAGACACATCGCCGTGCTGCTGGGTTTGCCTAAATCCTCTAGATTACCAGCAGGGCTTATGGTTAAACAGGGTATCTGCACATTTTTTAACAGAAAATTTAAGACCTTTTAAGACCTTTTTAAGTCCTCTAAAATGAAAATTTAAGACTTTACCTAAAAAAAAAAACAGGAAAATGTTCAGTGTGAACACAGAATGATGTGGTGAAGTATGGCGGCAAATCAATGGCAATATAAATCGAGCGCAGCGGTGATGTTTGCGCGCGAGGAGAAGTGAACCGTGAGCAGATTACTTGGTTGACTTGGTTTACTTGTTATCTCTAACGCTATTGGCTACTGTGCCTTTCCGGAAGTTAGCCGGGATTGGACGCAAGTTAAAAGATCATGCCGTTAAATATATATACAATTTGCAAGTCATAATCATAAGAAACTTTCTGAGAACTTTATGAACTTTATGAGGATTCAATCTCGAGAAACAGTCAAATAATATCCAAAATAATGACTTGCATTCTTGTAACATGACTTTCTGAACCCATTTGATTTGTCCGTGCAGCACTTGTCTGGTTTGTTGTATTTTACTTCATTATTAACCACAACAGCAGTGCTCATTATTACACTTGGGGATGATCTTTCTAGGAAATATTGTCTTCAGAAGAGTTTATTTGCGTTTTAGATCTTTATAGATAATTATAATTAATTTATCTTTATAGATAATTGTTAACATTGTTTGTAATATAGATCAGTGTAAAATATATATATCTATATATATATTATATATATTTTTCAATCTCATTTTTAGTTAATGATTGAATAACCTGCATATAAAGACTTCAATCAAAAATGATTAGCCCAATTAAACATAAAAAATACAGTGACAGACATTCAGATGGGTTTTTATCGCCACCTATTGAGCAACAATTTAATTTCTACAATCTTCGTTTGGCTTTACTCACTATCCATTACATCATTCCACTTCAGAGGCATACAAATACTACTTTCTATACGACAGGCCCACATCTTAAAGGTCACATATGCAGTTGAAGTCAAAATTAGTAGCCCACTTTTTTCTTGTTTTATTTCGGCAAGAATAAAAGCTGTTTTAATTTTTTAAAACCCATTTTAAGGTCCATATTATTACCCTCTTTAACCTATTTTTTTTTTTTTCGAAAGTCTACAGAACAAACCATCGTTATACAATAACTTGCCCAATTACCCTGCCTAGTTAACCTAGTTAAGCCTTTAAATGTCACTTTAAGCTGTATAGAAGTGTCTTGAAGAATATCTAGTCTAATATTATTTACTGTCATCATGGCAAAGATAAAATAAATCAGTTATTAGAAATGAGTTATTAAAACTATAATGTTTAGAAATGTGTTGAAAAAAATCTTCTCTCCGTTAAATAAAAATTAGGATAAAAATAAACAGGGGGCTATTAATTCAGGCGGGCTTATAATTCTGACTTTAACTGTATAGTGGAATAACAGACTAATGGCAATATATTTACTATAAACCTTTGTACTTTATGCACTGCATGCATGTATAGCCTATTTTGTATACTATTGTCCATCCAACTTATTCTGACTTGTTCTTCACAGAAAATGAGTCAAGGACAATGAATCTTAGAAAAAAAAAAGATTTTTGTAAATTTGAACACGTTTAGTTTGAGTTCAGTTTAAATGTAGGTGCTAAACTTCATCAAATGGTTCAAAACACATTTAAAGTCTGAATTATTCGTCCTGATTTAATAGCCCATGTATATTTTCCCCAATTTCTGTTTAATGGAGAGATCTTTTGCCACATGGTATAACTCTCTCTTTCTCTCCCAAGTAATAAAGTTTGTTACAGAAATATATCTCATTATTTTGATGTCATTATATGGCATTATTATGAGATTAATTATTAAAAAAAAATATCTCATTATTGAAAGTAAGTCTCCACCTATTATTACTGAGAAAGTAAGTCTATGTTTCACACTGTGACATTATGATAAGATTTCCTATATAATTTTATTTAACGGGGAAACTAGCTTACCTGCGTCCAATCCCGGCTAACTTCTGGAAAGGTAGAGTAGCCAATAGCGTTAGAGATAACAAGAAAACCAAGTCCCGCCCTAGGACTCACAAAAATCTAAACTGTTTCGCGCGAGCAGAGAGAAGAACCAGCGAGCGAGCGGAGAGAACTGATCGCGCGCGCGCTGTAGGCATGACCTCGCTCGCGAGAGCGTACATCGTGCGCACAGATGATAATGTGCACGCGCGGGACTTGTTTTCTCGCGCTGGATCAGTTGACCGCACGCGTGAAGATCCCCTGTGCGCTCGCGAGCTGTAATTTTCTCGCGTGTAGACCTGTAATCTGCTCACGGTTCACTTCTCCTCACGCGCAAACATCACCGCTGCGCTCGATTTATATTGGCATTGATTTGCCGCCATAAGACGAGTCGGACATGATATTTAAGATCCCACATGAAATTTAAGACCTCCTTATGGAAAATTACAGAATTTAAGACATTTTCAGACCTTAAAAATCGAAAATTTTATTTAAGACATTTTAAGACTTTTTAAGGACCCGCGGGGACCCTGTTAAAACAGACAGGGAAAGAGACCTGCTGCACTGAATCTGCATTCAGACCCGGAGATTGAGGGAAAAGTCCTCATTTATAGTGTTTATATAAACACAACTATGTTTATAATAATATAAATTGTGGTTATGTGTATATTAAATTCAAATAACAAATGTAACAGGGCATTAAATTACTGTTTATTTTTTTGTATTTTAACTTTGTAAACTATAAAATCATGCATCTCACAAATTGTGTGAGCTAACTGACAACACAACAGTGGTTCACTCCCCTCCTTCTCCCCTGCTCTGCTGGCCACGCCTACTCCTGCCCTTTGCTCGCGGAGCTCCACGCCCATTACGGTGCATCTTTTGATGCATCTGAGGTAGACCTGAACTGAAAGTAGGGGGTGTCATGACCCTTTAAAGCTTTTGTAGGTAAGAAGCAATATTTTAAAATCAATTTTGAATTTGCCAGGCAGCCAGTGTAAGGAGGATAAAATTGGAGTGATATGATAATACTTTCTAGACCTTGTAAGATCTCTGGCAGATGCATTTTGTACTAGCAAGTTTATTATTGTAGGATGCTGCGCAGCCAGCAAATATAGTTTTAGTAGTCCAGCCTTGAAGTCATAAAAGCATAAACCAGGTTTCCTGCATCTGAGATGGATAGCATACTTAGTAAATTAGCGATATTCCTCAGACAAAAGAAGGCGGTTTTTGTGACATGGGAAATACAATTTTTAAAAGTTGCTGTCCAATTGAACACCTAGATCTTTAACAGTAGAGCTAATACTAACTATTTTTTTACGGATGGACCAATAATCTTTTTTTTTTGGAACCGATCCGATCTTTAAATAACCGATAAGTCTTTAACCGAAAAGGTGTGTTTGTAACCGAATAATGGTATCAGTTAAATGATTAAAAATATATATATATATATATTTTTATATTTTTAAAGTTTGGCTACATAAGGAACAGAATTACACCAAACGCGATTTTTGCTTTGAGAGGTGCATCTTTTGAATGGTTTACTAACGGCTGCAAGTGTTTTACGTGCTGCTGATGTTTGATAAAATCTGCTATCACTTATGACGCATGTGGAAATCGCGAGACATACGGTGCAATTGAAAAAAATAACAATAATCAGAACATTAATCTGGATCAAAAAGGATAACAAACAAGGGGACTCACAAATAATCAATTACTCACTGGTGTAAAATGTACAAATCAGTTGTGCATTTCAGCCAGCCAGATCTGCAGCCTGTGTCTCTCCAGCCGACATGACTGCTTTTTGTTACTAAACTCATCACAAAATCTTCCTCTAAGGGTTGGTGTTGTGGAAAGTTGCGATGGATCTCAACAAACATCTTCTAAGTTTCAAAAAAGAGGCTGAGGTCTTCAAAGTTGTCAAGTTGAAGCAGTTTATTGTTACAGCAGAGTTGGTCGATCGATCTCTCTCCTACAAATGTTCCAAAACCCACAGTTTATATACAGGCTTTTCCTATAGTCATCATGAAACAGTGGTGTAGCATGAGCATCACGTTATTTTCAGGCTCCAATAGGATTCTAGCCTTTATATTGATGGCTGTATGTTTTTCTGTTTTTGCACATCTTAAAGGTCATATTTCAACACTTTTTAAAAGATTCTCCCTATGCATGCTATTGCCGTGCAGATTGAGCAAAGTTGTTTTTAAGTTGTTTTTGTCATGGTCAATACATCAATACGTGTTGCATATGCTGTCTGAATGGTCTTACTTCATCGCTGTTTACTTCTGTGTGTTTTGCTCTGCATCCCTTGAATGTATTTCTATATGTTTTAACAGTGTATTTTAATAGTGGAAGATTATACAGTGATTATATAGTGATTACATAATAAAAGTTCCTCTATAATTCTCCAATATAAATCCCCCCTTAGGGACTTAATCAAAAAAGTCCCTTTCCTAAATCCCTCGCTGAAGTGCAACTTAAGAATCCAACTCTTGCAAAGTCTTAACATACTTGTGCAACCAAAAAGTTGCCCATTTACATCCTTATCAATTGTCAGCATCCTTGCGCCGCACTTCAGAGGAGAAACAGAACCAAACATCTCCCTCTACTTTTGACTTTAGAGGGAGTAAAAGATCCCGTTCTCCCTAACTGAATACTTCTTTGGGGGAGTTCAACACACAATAATCATTAGTCAGGTTAAAAACATATGCTTGTCAGCCTTGCTCACAGTTGTGGGTATACTGCATATATACTTGATTAATCATCGTTTAACAGAAATCATATAGTTGTAGAAAATTCTCGGCGCCTGTAAACAAGCTATATCTGATGTTTTATCCCACGTCGCCAGAGGTACTTCTGAGTACTGTCTGGCGTTGGAGCAGACAGTGGGTTTTTAAACCGCCAGTAGAGTCTGCTCTTCTGCTTCTCTTGCCATTGGATACAAAGGTGTCCCTTGACCGTAATCATCTTCCCTCTTTGCCCGTGTACATCCGATAGGAGCTCCGGCAGCTTCGATGAACTCCTAAATACATATAGAAATATATACTAGTAAATAGGGCTTAAATAATCACACAATTTTCCAGTTAAGTCCACTCTGCTAGCTTTTTCCTGTATTATGGATGATACCTTGCTTAAAACTCTCATCTTTAAAAAAAAAAATTAGTAAAAAGTTCAAAGAAATTAAAAACAAAAATAAATTTAAAGCAGTAATTGTTTTTTTTAAACTCATCCAACTGGTCCAAATCTGGCCCAAAGACTTCATAGACATGGTCTCTGCAGTCATGCACAATTCTATTCACTTGCACATTGGTTATCTGCTTGGCAGCAGCTTTAACCAACATCGATCTGAGAAAAGGCACAACACAACAAAAGAGAAGGACAAAAACAAGTAGAGCAATTCCTATGAATATTCCAATCTTGATTATCCATTGTCTCCTTGATCCAAATACAGAAGCAAACCAGTCACTGAAGTTCTTATCCGCTCCAGCATTTTCTTTTACTTCTTTTCTCAGGTTTTCCAATTTCCGCATAGCTTCCATGAAAGATCCACCTGGGGCAGTATTATTTGGAATATACAGGGTGCAGCAAATGGTGCACTGTTTTGACAAGCAATTTTACTTGTCAGAGCCAATTGTTCTCCTAATGCTGTAAGGGCATCATTTGTGTAATTTATAAATCTTTGTTGGTTGTAATAAACGTAGTTAGCCCATTCTTAAATTTTTCATTGCAATTATACACACTACTATAACCTCGAGTCCTGCTTTTACTATATCTCTAACTTTAAACGTATCTGGTATTCCACTAGGTTGGCCAATTATATCTATGTGAACTTCTGAGTCAGGTGTATATTGTCTCTTAACTTGATGCTTATAATTCTGCTGCTTTTAATGCTTTGGTCTTTCTAGGTCATCTTACTCTTTAACCCAATCATTTTATCACTTTCTGTATTAGTTTAACTCTAGTACAAATCCCCTTCCAATTTAAAGGAAGTGTGGGGCATAATACTCCTGATCCACAGATCCAGTAATAGTGTACTATTTGTATATATTCTTGTATTAAGGGAAATTATCTTGCGAATTGTACATTGTCCAGTACAAATACCAAGTGTGCGGTTAACTGCCTTATCACTTTTTTTTCATAATTGCAACTTCAGAAACTGGCAACATTATACTCTTTATTGTAGCTGTAGCCATTTGGAAGGTTTGCATATAAGCATTTTCTTTTTTCCTACATTTCCTTATTCAAATGCCAAATTATTGCACAATTTCCTTTAAATTTTTCTACATTTTCTGATCCTCTTGTTTGATTATAACATTCATATTCTAATTTCTTATTTATCACTTATTTAATTTGGATCTCTCTTACTGCTGGTTGAATTCTGATGTCCATTTCTTTACATTCTTTTTTCAACCTATCATTGTTCTCTAATGTAAATTTGAAGTTTCCTATAGTATCAAGACATCAAGCTTGGCAAAACAGTGAGTCACTATTTGGTATATTGCAGTTATTTTCCTGAATTTTGCACAATGTCTATAATCATAAAGATTTACAACCACTATAAGCTTTATAGAGGCTATTATAAAACATATTGGGCAATTGGATATTTGTAATTTTCCAACTGTGTATTTTTCCCAGCGATACCAATCACTGTTATTAGTTTCTTCTAAGAACTGATCATCTGAGATCTGGGCTGCGTTTCCCAAAAGCATCGTAAGCCTAAGAAGTTCGTAGAAATGATCGTACGACTGATCTTAATATTACGGTCTGTTTCCCAAAAGCATCGTAACTTAAGTAGCACTTGAAAATCTTAGTGGATCTACGAGTGCTCTGGAGTAATCGTAAAGCCTTAAGTGCATCGTAAGGAGACAGAGTTATGAGGGCACCTGCTGGACAACCGGCAAATTGCACCTACAATTTACTTCTCTTCAAAGTCATTATTCATTTTATTTGTACGTATATCTCTATTCATTTATATTTTCTACACATTACACAATTCAATATACAAATAATAATGAATAAAGAAAAAAATAAAAATTACATAATAAATGTTAGAATGAAAAAAAAAATTACACTGTTGTATATGGACATTTCGAGGGTAGTAGGCTACATATGTTGTATTTAACAGAAAATATTTAATGTGATTTAAAGATGACACAAATAAAGGAGGAACTCAAAAAAATGTGTCAATGACTTGCTGGCGTGCCCCAAACCCAGCCATGTATTGAACATGTCTTGGCTGATCATCATGAATTCTCATCTCAACTTCATTCTCTTCCTCCACCTCTTCATCTTCCTCCCTGATGTCCAAGGGCACTCTTGCCCTCACTGCAATGTTGTGCAACATAGCTGTTACTGTTATTACAGCACAGCACTTTTGTGGCACAAAGAGAAGACCACCACTGGACTTGTGAATAGCCCGAAAGCGTAGCTTCCACCTTCCTAAAGTGCGCTCCACAGTACTTCGGGCAACACGGTGAGCCTCGTTGAAATGTGCCTCACTGTTACTGACAGGATTAGCAACAGGGGTGAACAGATATGGCCTCAATGGATATCCGCTGTCACCAAGCAGCCTCCAATGTCCGTTTGAGTTTTGGGCCTCTTGACCCACAGATGAGTTGGTAAAGATATAGGAGTCATGTGTGCTCCCAGGCCACCTTGCAACAATGTCTGTGATTAAACAGTTATGGTCACAGATCACTTGGCAGTTGATTGCTGGATAACCTTTGCGGCATATATATGTATGGCCATCCACAGAAGGCGTACTGATGGGAATTAAAGTACCATCAATGACTCCAATGACTTGTGGTATATGGTAATGTGTTAGAAAATACTCCTGAATGTCTGACATGGCCTGTCTTGATGCTGGAAATTTGATGTGTTCAGCTGCAAGTGGAAGCAGTGCATAGGTGACTGCTTGTACAGCTCTGGACACAGATGGTTTACTTAGTCCAAGTCCATCTCCAAGTACCTGAAGAAAACTGCCTGTTGCATAATATCTCAGAGCAGCTAAGAGTTGCACATCAGGGGACAAGGCAAAATTCCTTCTTGTAGCACGCATCAGCTGAGGCCCAATGACATTGAGCAGCTGGACTATTTCTCCTCGTGGCAGACGGTACCTGTGAATGACAGCCATATCATCAAGCATATCCAGAGGATTTTGATGCTGCCTGATGAAGGCATTTATAGTACATAGTGTACTCCGTGGTCGTCTCTGTCTTTGTCTTTGCCTTTCTCTTTGCCTCACTCTCAGCTGGAAAACTCGCTGTAGTGCAGCCATGATTTACTCTGCAAGACTACTGAAGTGTGAACTTTATATACTATCCTAAAATTGCTCACAGGAACCATATGATTAAAGTTTTTCAGGCTGTGATAATATTCACATGTCACACACTGATTGTCATCTATTTCACTAATTGCAGTAGGCCCCACTTGAAGAAACTGAATCATTGATTTTAGAAATTGCATTAATTACCTCTTCCCTGAATTTATTCTCTTGTTAGGTTCATAATGGTCAAAGATTTACATTTATATAAAACAGTGCTAATAAAGAATGTGCACATTAAGAATTTTTCTGCACCTATATGGATAGGCTAATAGATAGGCCCTAATACTATATTGCCACACACATCAAGACTCGAGCTGTAGTAAAATATATACCCCTTTTTTCACAGACAATGCTTAAGCCTATAGTCCAGACTAAAATGTAAGTCTGAGCTTTTTCAACTGAAGGACACTTGCACTGACTGATCCTAAAATATATCAGTCCCTTTGTTTTGTCTCAAGATGGACACCAGTAATTTTTTTTCTAAGGCGCAATTATAAAAAAAAAATACTTAAATCTAATTGAACTATGGCCTAATCCTGGCCCTGTCTGTGAAACTAGCCCATAGGACTTGCATGCTTATTACTTTTTTAAAGAGACTACAAGTAGCTATTTAAATTTGAAACACTTATGATATGATAATATAATAAGAATTCTTCTGCTTTATAGTATTTCATTGAGCCTTAGACTTTGAGTGGATTAACAAACATCAAAACATTGCATTTAAACAATTTTTATTGATTCAAGTTTGTAGTTTGTTCCCCAGGATCTGCAAAAGACATGGCAAAATGTGATGAGTGTACATATGGAAAAGAATATTTCATGTTGCACAACATATTTTATTAAAACATATAATTATTCATGATTAAACAACATTGAACAATCTTACCTGACTCATCTGGCAAGATAATTGGCACTGAAATGGAGGGCCTTGCAAAACTCATCTCCTCCAGTGAAAGTCTCCTCTCTTCCAAAGCCATCTTGGCCTTCTTAAGTTCAATGATTTCCCTCTGAAAGTTGTAATTCATCTCATTGGCCTCTTTAAGAGATTGTCTGATATCTTTTAGAACATCTAATTTCTCTCGCTCCAGCTGTACCAAGTCCTGACTACAACCACAGATATTCTCAAATCGCGGTGTTGTGGCTGTAGCCTGAACAATTGAAGATGGAGGCTGGTCTGTTGGACTGTTGGGAGGACTGGGAGATGGTAGCTGTCTGTCAATAGGAGGTGAACCTGATTGCTCTTGTGAACATGATGGACCTGACTCAGGTTCAGGTTGACGCAACCCTTCTCCTCCATGGAGGTCAATCCCACCACAAATCCCATCTGAGGCAGTTGTTCCAAGAATTGACAGTGCCTTTTCTTCTTCTGCTGTAAGAATGGGGGCGTCATTAGGCCCACCACCTGTTTTATTAATTGTTGTCCTCTGCAGTGCCCTTTTTCTTTTAGCTAGGCTTGAAAAGTCCTGCCACTTCTTCCTGACCTCATTCCCTGATCTTTTAATCCCCCTTGTTGCAGTAAGTTTTGTAGCAATATCGTCCCACATTTTTTGTTTTTCTTTATTTGTGTGACTGCCCTTAAACCTGCTGAAAATTATATGTTTTTGTAGCTCCACCTCCTCTAAAATAATATTAATTTCCTCTTTTTGAAAAATGACTTTTCTTTGTTTTTTGGTTTCAGCCATTTTGCTAGTGTCTCCACCCCTAGGTATGTGCTTATTTATATTTTTGTCCTATTAGCAAATGCACATCAGGTGGGGATAATTAGGCTAAACTTTTCAAAAATAAATGTAAGAGCTTATTTATTTATTTATTTATTTACTTATTTATTTATTTTGATGTGAGATAAGCAATTTTTGATAAAGAAATTGATAAATAATTCTACTTAATTAAGGTTTCATATAAATATCGAAAATGATGCTGATGTCATTTCCGGCAAGGACTGTTAGAATTAGTTTTATGCGAGATTGGAGCAAGACAGTGTTTTTACAGTACGACATTTCCAGTTAATTTATGTTTTTAAACTGGCTCAAAAATATTTTTTTTTTATGTTATTCGAGTTGAATATACATTCACACAAGTAGAAGAAGAATTATATGGATTGCTATAACATGTGCAACAATAACGAGCCATTCTATAGCGTGACATTTCAGCACTTAACAAACGGATAGCGACTCCTAAGTTGCACTTAAAGCTGGGCTACGTGCAATTGTGTTAAGTGCATTTTTGGGAAACGCACGTGAAACAATAACGAACGTTCGCAAAATGACTCGTAGAAAACGCTCTTAAGTGCTAAGATCAATCGTTATCGGGAAACGCAGCCCTGGTCAGTCAATTTCTACATAAATCTCATATGTATCAGTTTGATTAATGCATATCCTCTGGGTCGGCATTTTTCTTTAGATGATTGTTCTATACATTCATTTTGTTGTGGGATATTTGCCTCTTTCCAAAAAATTAAGAAGACAGTTGTTTGATACTCTTGTCCAACTCTGTCAGATTGGAATAATCCTTTACCTTTGGAGAAATTACCTCTAGGCTTTCACTCATCTTTATTTGCATCATCAGCAGCAGCAACAGCAGGAACATCTTCCAAAACAGTTTCCTTCTGTCGTTCCCTGTTCTGTTCCTGTAAATAAATAACTTCATACATGGCAGTTAGTTTTTCTTATTCGACAAAAATACTTATGTGCAATTAGCGTTCCATGCAGTGTTAAGTTCCTGTTTCTGTTAGTTTACATAAAAACTCATTAAAGCATCAGTTTACACATCAGTCCAGTTTACCAATCCAAACTCAATCAGGTTTCCTATTTTTTAGGTTTTTCAAAAAAGTTATAGCCTTAATAGATCTTCTTGGTGCCTTTGACCAGTTGTTGTGATTGTGCTTGAAAAACTTCACTCTAGCCTTTGATTCATTCTTAATTAACAGTACTTCTTTAACTGTTTTATTTATTTATTTGATAATTTATTTAATCACTTATTTACTTATTTAGCTATTTTTAATTTAATATTCTAAATTTATTAATGCACAATCATTATTTGAAATGATTTCTGATGATAGTCCAAATCTAAGAATGGATGTTTTTATTCATGAGAAATATAGTTAATCATCACAACCAGCTTTTAATCCCAACCTGTTAAGTAGTACAAACATGTATTTCTTGCCTTGTACTCGTTTTAATATAACCTCAAACCCTCATTACTAAATGCTTAAAAATCACTTCAGGTACTGCTCGCTGTTCCTTCCCTCACATTATATTTAGCATAGATGTCACATGGACAAAACTCACTAAGCACTGCATTCGAATAAGGATACCAATCTCCTTGCTGTTTAAGTTTTCCTAATACTTCACCCTTGATCAAATTCATGTGCATCGGCAATAAGTATACTTGGAGATGCTGTTGGCACAACAATTAGTCTTTTATGTATATAGGCTATTTCCCCCCTTTCATGCTAGATTGTTCACAGAGACCTTTTTGTTGTTTAATTTTTACAATGTTCTTCAATTAAGGTTGTAGCTCTATAAGCACTATAGATGACTTGCTACCTCATATTCTGTCACTTGTTTAACTTTCAAATCTGTATTGTTTCCTTTAATGATAAACAAATTTTTCTTTCATCATCTCAAATGCTTTTATTGAATCTGTGTTTCCTGTTAATTTAGGGCCTTATTTTTGCAGTCTTTCCTGTTTCATAAATTTTCTTTAGTGCAGTTTGTTGTAAAATTCTCTGTTCCATCAATGCTAAATTTCAGTCATCCCTAAAAGTCATCATGGGTTTTCTGTTAATTTAATTGAGCTAGAACTATAAGGAGCTGCTGATATTTAAATAAACTATATAGTGTAACTATAGTGTAATAGTGTAAATATAGTGTAACACACTACTGTTCATCATAAGATCTTCAGACTTTGTGTATGTATAATTTTCAGCAGCAAATGAAAATACTAATAGGTACCTATCCTCTTTTGCTAATTACCTAAACTTGGCTGAAAAGAAAATAATTATCAACAATATTTGACATCAGGAGGAACATTTGTTCATAAAATGTAGGAACTTCAGTTGACAAATTTTCTCTCATTCATTTTTCTTATATCTTCTGCTTTTTACCTGCTTTGATGCAGCATAATTAAAGTATTTATTCAATTTAAATTAAAATCTTAATAATTACATACACTGTCATACCTGAATTGAAATATAATCTAAATAGAACTATCCAATGACATATGTATTGCATATTATAATCACTAGGTGTTAATACTCCCACTCTTAATAAAACTTCAATTTTGTTTTTTATACCTATTTCAGCTTTTTTTCTTCTTTTCTCTGCAGATGTGCATCTGGTTTAATTTTAACCCTCACTGTACTGGTTAATTTTATAATTTTAAATTCAAGTCCTGCAATGATAATAATCCTTTAAGTATTAACTGTACTTCTTCAAATCATTTTGAACTATTTGTTCATTTGAATGTTGCATTTATTTATTTTTTCTCTAAAAAAATAACTTTCTAAAAAAAAATAAAAAAACTTTCTAAGGCAACCCATCTACTTCATTGTATACACATCTTTCATGTAATTTTTGTAAGTTAACTGAAAAATCATTTAATCTTTTTGTTCTGTTTTGCTTTACTCTTTAGTCCTCAAATTTAGTTTACATTTTCTTTTACTTGTATGGATATATGAAACAAAATCTATTACATTAAACCCCTTTTTTCCCCAAATCATCTCTTACTACACTTAATGCTTTTCACTATTGACCTATTTTCTTGTGCTGTTCTTTTTCCCTTCAATTTCTTCCTGATAATAATTTTCTAAGGCTAAATCTCTTTTAAAATTATGAATTTGCATAGACAAATTCTTCTTTTTACTAGCCCTGCTTCAGAAATGTTTTAACTCAATCTATTTTCACATTATCAATTGTCTTAATTACATCTTCTATCTGTTTTAATTAATAGGTATTATCTTTTTATTTCATAATCCTTATTTAATTCAAATTTTTTTTACTAAATGTAAAGTCCTATTTTATAAAATAACTTTCTAAGTAATCAATTGACAGGAGTCTGATTTGATACAAGAAAGGCTACACTTTTGTTTTAATTTGCAACATACTTGATTTGGATCATATGTCTACTGGGCTTTTGAGATTGAGTTTGCTAGGCCATAGCCAATCTCTCTCCCTCAAACCCCAAGGCAACTGTTCCATAGATGGTGCAGTTTTTGCATTGTTGTATTCAGGAATCCCCACATTTCCTGCTTATTTAAGGAGTTAAAGTGTTGAGCATTTCTCCTCCCTCTTGGTGCTGACTTCTCTTTCACCCAGCTGATGTTGCTGGAAAGTTTAGCTTTTTGATCAGTTCATCAGTCTCTTGTTTCTCCTTCTTTAAGTGTCTTTTGAAAATATGTCGATGGGTCAAAGTCTCTGTAGCTTTTTTTGCATGCAGTGCCTGGCTCACTGCTTTAGTTCATGTGATAAGAGTCCACAGTCAACAAGTTGCTCCTTGTGTTTCTCAAAACACCTTAATCTATTTCCCAGTGCCTTTAGAGATGTCAGGCAGGCGAAAAGGCTAGGACCCTTCAAAGTCCATCTCCTTGCCCCTTAATTTAATATAACAATTTGCTTAGTTAATAATCTAAGCATTTTTCCACTTTCCCATTTTTCCTTCATCAAATAAAGACATTCTTCTCATCTATGTTCTTGTATTTGCTGTCCAATAGTTAATTCTTCTTAATATTTATTACTAAGTCTACTGTTTCTTTTGTTAATTTTCTGTTTCTTTAATTTTCTTCTAATTCCTTTCTTTAGCTTCAGCTTGTGTTTTTTTCCCCTAATCTATTCTAGTGTTTTCTCACTAGTTGGCCTTTCTTTACTTTGTTTGAATTTCTCTAACATTTTCTATATCTGTTTCAATTCTATAGTACATTTTCTCACTCTTTTTTACACACTCATCTCTTTAGTTTTAACCTTTCCCTACTTGTTTTTAATCTATTTTAAGTTCTTTTGCTACTTCCATAATTTCCCTCTGTATTGGTCATTGACCCATTGTCCTGTCTCTCTGTCTCTGTCTCTCTCTCTCACACACACACACAGCTTACATCAAATGTTCCTTCCTTTTGCCATTATTTTCTGTTCTGTTCTCTCTTAGATGAGTATTTAACTATAAATTATTCATATCTTATATATATATATATATATATATATATATATATATATATATATATATATATATATATATATATATATATATATATTTTTTTTTTTTTTTTTAATTTTTTTTTATCCTAATTCTAATATTTTCTATGATGTGTTATTCCCCTCTGTTCCTAAATGTTTACTTTTTTAATTATTACTTTATTCTTTTATATAACACATAATCTTCTTCCAAATTGTATTTACTTTATCCTATTTATCTTATACTATTTTGTAATATACACTTTTACACCTCACTAATATTAAATCAGATTCTATTATTCCCTAAATTAAATTATATTCTAAGAACTTAAATTATGATCTCTTTGTATGCACATGTCAACTTATGTTAAATACTTCTCCTTAATTTAATATTTCTCTTTATATCTTTCTATTTGAACTAAATTTATTTATTTCCTAAATATTATAATCTCTTCCTTAAACTGTATCAGTCTCTTCTATATTTTTCCAATATATATCATATACCTCTTCTATATATATATACCTCTTCTATATCACACAATATCTGCAGTTCATCTTTATATTATAATCTACAATAATGATTATTTTATTTCACTATTTATCACAAACACTACTAAACACAAACACTTAACCACACTCTCACTTTCTAGTCCTTCACATTTAGAGGACTCATTCACTCAACATTTGTCCCTTTACATCTACAGGGCTCATTCAGTCATTCATTCCTCTCAGTGTAACACAGAGAGCCTCCGTCTCTGCCATGCTCTATTTAAGGGATGGTGCAGGAGGGTGGCTCTGCTTGTCCACTAATATGGAATTTTACACAACCATTCACACAAACACAGACACACACCACACTAAAGTAAATCTGCTTTTATTCTCTTAACTGTCACCACACATTCAGAACTCACTCTTGAAATCTCAATCTGTTCTATGTATATCATCATTAAATAACTTCCCAAATCTAAGTAACAGTTACTAGTTAACGTCTGTCGCTATCAAGGCCTCTTAACAAACAGACACAGATCATTTGCATGCAATTTTTTTCTTTTTTATCTAGAATTCAAACCTCCCTTCATTACTTTTATTTATTTTAATTTGAGGGAACAGTTGAAGTGTCTTTACCATCACAAGCAGGTCCTGGGAGACAAACCAAACTTTTTTTTACATGCAAAACTGCTTTTCTTAATTGTTGTGGCCACGTTGTTTGCTTTGTCCCTCCAGCACAGCATGTGCAATTTTATTAATTCTCTAATCAATTCATATTTTTATCTATATTTTATTCTCTTAATTATAATACTAACTTTCTCTTACACTACACCTCCGAAATTTTTCTCTAACACTCAACATCCTTAAGCACACACCCTATTCATGCTTTAAATTAAATTCTCTCATCACATGCATCCTCATTCACAAATCTCACAGTATATGCTTTCTTATTCAATCCTCTTTTCTAGGAATTGTAAGAAAAAATTTCCCCATTCACATTGGTCCAGACCACCACATAAAACACAACATATAGACGAACAAGACTTACACAGGTCAGTTCACTGAGATCCAGCCCTCCTTATAGGTGCTTTTGGAATCAGATTAAAGGCCTCCTCCCAATTTCCCTGCCTCTATCGGGAGAATCTTACTCAATCCACAGGTGAGTACAGAGACGCGGAGCGCTCCTTTGCTCTAATTCACAACCACAAAGAGCGACCCCTAGCGCTGCCTCCGCGCGTTCTGCTCACGCCTCTCTCGTAGCAATTCATGCATGTACCTCTCTTTCATATGCATATAATTTACAGCCCTTTGTTAGTATATAATACAAAGCTATTAGTTAGTGCATAATTTACAGCCATTTGTTAGTACAATCACATACCTTGACAACCTGGAAGACCTCTTTTTCTTATAAATAGTTCACTTCTCTATACTTTTATTACTTTATCACTTACTTTATCATTTTTTTAATAAATGTAGTCAATTCAAAGGTTCTTTTTAATGGTGAGGTATTTTTTTTAAAGTCAAGTTCAGGCATCTGGTCTATCCCACAGTACACTCATCAGAGAACCAAAATAAAGCAAAAATTTGCTCACCTTTTTTAATCTGCGCGCTTTTTGGTCTCTGCGTGAGTGTCTGCCAAGGATTGGCCCTATTGACACCTTCTTTCGACCACCCTCAATCCAGCACCACGATGAAGGCGCCAAATTATGTTGTGGAAAGTTGCGCTGGATCTCGACAAACATCTTCTAAGTTTCAAAAAAGAGGCTGAGGTCTTCAAAGTTGTCAAGTTGAAGCAGTTTATTGTTACAGCAGAGTTGGTCGATCGATCTCTCTCCTACAAATGTTCCAAAACCCACAGTTTATATACAGGCTTTTCCTATAGTCATCATGAAACAGTGGTGTAGCATGAGCATCACGTTATTTTCAGGCTCCAATAGGATTCTAGCCTTCATATTGATGGCTGTATGTTTTTCTGTTTTTGCACATCTTAAAGGTCATATTTCAACACTTTTTAAAAGATTCTCCCTATGCATGCTATTGCCGTGCAGATTGAGCAAAGTTGTTTTTAAGTTGTTTTTGTCATGGTCAATACATCAATACGTGTTGCATATGCTGTCTGAATGGTCTTACTTCACCGCTGTTTACTTCTGTGTGTTTTGCTCTGCATCCCTTGAATGTATTTCTATATGTTTTAACAGTGTATTTTAATAGTGGCAGATTATACAGTGATTATATAGTGATTACATAATAAAAGTTCCTCTATAATTCTCCAATATTGGTTATAGGGCTTTCTCACAACAGGGGTTACATAGGTTTGCAGCAGCAGTGTGATATACTTTAACAGGTATCAATACTTGCTCCGCCATAATAAAAAAAGCAGCAGCATAGCAGATCTATACCGCCAAGACCAAATACATCAACATTGTCATATACATATTCATTACCATACTGAATTCTGAGAGTTTTCATGATAGGAGTGTTTTAATCAGATACAAACCCAATCAAATGCTTTATGTGCATTAAGTGATAATAGCAGGGTCCGTTTCCTAGTAAATTTTGTATAACTCATGTTTAATGTTTTACGAAGGTTAACTCTAATGCCTTTCTAGAGGCAGCACAGTGGGTAGCACAATCACCTCACAGCAAGAAGGTTGCTGGTTCGAGCACCGGCTGGGTCAGTTAGTGTTTCTGTGTGGAGTTTGTATGTTCTCCCTGTGTTTGCATGTATTTCCTCTGTGTGCTCCGGTTTCCCCTACATCCAAAGACATGTGGTACAGGTAAATTGAATAAGCTAATTTGGCTGTAGTGTAATTTATAGGTAAATAGGTCATTTATAGGTAAATTGAATAAGGTAAATCACCCCATCTTTAAGGGTGCACCCTGCAAAGGAAACTTATTTTGGCTGCTTGTATCTGAGATCATTGTCCTTTTGGTCATGAGTCAAAGGTGAGAATAGGAACGTAGATTGACTGGTAAATCAAGAACTTTGCCTTTTGGATCAGCTTCTTCTTTACCACAACGGACCGGTACATTGGCCACATTACTGCTGCTACTGCACTGATCCACCTGTTAATCTCATGTTCCATTCGTCCCTCACTCGTGAACACAAGCCCAAGGTACTTGAACTACTCCAACTGGGGTAAGGGCTTTCCTCCAACCTGGAGATGGCAAACCACCTTTCTCCAAAGCACCAAGGCCTTTGGCTTGGAGGTGCTAATTCTCATCCCAGCCACATAACACTCGGCAGCAAACCGCCCCAGTGCATGCTGAAGCTCCATGGTCAATGAAGCCAACAGAACAACATCGTCTGTGAATAACAAAGATGAATTCCTGTGGTCCCTGAACTAGACCCCATCCTG